TCATTTGTTTTTACAGTAAATTACTTAAAAAGTGTGACATCAAAGCCTTTGTTGTTCCATGGATTTGATTGAGTTTGCAGGTTAGCCTGTGTTTCCACAAAATCGAGTAACAAAATAAATTGCTTGACAAAAATGCGTTCAGTTGTATATAAAAGCTACTGTCTCAGGGTTTTCTCTGTCCTCAAGAAATGGTAATGGACTTTTAGATGAGCTTCTTTTTCTCGAAGAAAGTCTTCAAGTGCCAAAATTGAAGACCTGCGACCGATAAACAAATCCCGAGTGACAAAAAACTCAGCCATGCCATCTTCGAATGTGTTGATTTGTTCAGTTCGTGCATTTCTTCTTCCCTGCAACATAAAGAAGAGAAGATGGGTTTGAGTTTTGAGTCACACTCTTCCTCAGATTAAGTGACTTGAAGGGAAGACATGTAAAATTACCTGTCGCGGAGATAAAACATCTCATCGTGGATGGAAGTAACTGTTTCGAATAACCTCTTAACCTCAAATTCCATCATCTGGCCAATAACACAAAGATCCAACCATGAAAGATTAGGCAAGAAAAATCCTTAAAACACTATGCAACCTCTTCAAGACGCTATAATGTCACCACTTTAAGCTAGTTTGGCTCAGTGATCTTTAAAGCCTAGTCCTATATATCTTCACTTTGCAGGATACAATCAGTCATTTCTGCAGAATGAACTCCTGATGAGCCGAAGCAACCGACTGGGTTTGAAGTTTAGCTAATCAACTCTCTCTTCCATATGCAAGACCGCAAAAACGGCCCCTATCAGTTGAATTTAAACCCTAAGCAATGTACATACTCAAATTCATGGCCTTGTTCGAACCAAAACCAAGACTACATAGCATTTCTCAAACCAGATTCAACTATCCACTTTCCAGCATTATGCCTAATTTAGCTATGAAATGCTCACACATCCGGCACAATTCTTCATGACACAGAATCAATCATCAATCTATGAGTTTAATTTGACTAAGTTCAGACTTTTAAGACTTAAGGAACAAGCGGAAAACTTACTTCGATTTGGCTCTTCTTGGCCACATTAGACCACTCTTTGGTATGAATACCCGTCCTCCAATCAAAGTCAATGGTCATCATCGTCTCCGGTTGGTGCTCGGCGGCGGAGAAGCAAGTTATGTAATCCCCTGTTTCCACCGCAGTTAACGAGAACTGCCCAGAATCCACTCCGTCCGCCTCGTGATAAGCCGTTCCTTGCGGCGATGTGACCTATACACATCAACACATTGCATATACTAAAATCAATCACCATGAACAAAAATTGACGGAAAATGCGATAAGATCGAGAGATTTTCGATGTATTATTATTACCCTGACGGTGATTTTGTGCGAAGCAGGAAGAGGATGATCTTCGTTAGGGTTTACGATGCTGTATTTACCGACGGACATGGCGTTGGCGTGAATCTCCTCGGAGATGCATTTCGTGTGCCCAGAAAGTAGCTCGTAACGCATAGAGAGCGTCACCGGAGATAAAATCGAAAGGATCAACAGTACAATCGAGCTCCGATGAAGATCCATGGCGGCTCCGATTGAGAGATGGAGAGAAATCGATCTGACGAGTTTCAATGTTTCGTTTTATTTCTGGGCTAATGAAATGAAGGAGACAAAAGAAAGTCAACACGAGGAATACCACGTGTAAGTGTTTCATTCGTCATAACACGTGGATTTACCTTTTAACTATACCTCTGACTCGTGTAGAGGTTTCGCGCAAAGCTCTTTAGTGGGCTTTAAAATTAAGGCCCAATAATAGTATTGGACTTAACTCTTCTGAAGTAGTATCACCCAAAAGTAGAAGAAAATAACTCTTTTGACCAAAAAAAATAAAATAACTCATCCAAATTTCATTCAAGCATATCCGATGTTAATTAAAATTTTAAATCTTAATTGGTAAAAAAAAAGTGAAACTTAATATCTTGCACTAAAAGTTTTTGTAAAGAGAACAACAAAAGGAGAAAAAAAGATTTTCCTTGGAAGTGATGTTAATACAAAAGCAAATGCAAATTGAGAAAAAGTGTCATGATTTTGTTACAATTTTTCACAAAAAAAGCCCTACAAATTCTAAGGGGGGTGTATTGGAACAAGGATTTTATAAGACTTTGATGGAATTTAGATTTAGGTGAATTTTGAGGTTGTTGAAGTGATTTGTCTGGTTTTTCACAAAATCCTATTAATGATTTGGTAGGATTTTATTTTGGATTTTACAAAATTTTGGATGATTTGGTGGTAACATTCACATCTTCAAAAACGTCATTGACCCACTAAAAACAAAATTCTAAAATTTTATTAAACTATGAATTAACTCAAAAACAGCACTGTAAATGCAAATTTTAATTAAACGAAGCTCATAGACCAAAACAAAAAAGAGTGAACTTAAAGGAACTGTGAATGTCATTCATCCCCTAAGGTTTCTAACATTCACATCTTTTTATAGTAAACATTGAAAGATTAGAGTTAGAATGGAGAATGGAATGGACAAGAAAGAAAACAGAAGAAAAAGTGATTTGTTGGAGATAAAGGATGTGAAACGTTCACATATTTATTCGGTTTTTTTTTTTATAGGTGTGATTTTGTTTACTCATGATTTTAACTAAAATTAGATATGAAATATCCTAAAATCCTTTCCACAACATATTTTAAAAAACCATTGA